TGCCCCGGGGGAGCTGCCCGCCGGCAGGAGGCGGCCTGCTACAAGGATAGGGGGGGAGGAGGGCAAGCAGCCTCCCAGGCGCGGCTGGAATCACAGCTACAGCTACCCTTCCCCCCCTGGTCCCGCCAGCCCAGCCATTTGCACCGTGCTCCTGGGTCGGCAAGATTGAGCCAGGTTAGGGAGAAGAATTGCCTTGGACCCAGACCCTGGCCCATCCTTTTGGCTGCGAAGGCAACCTGGGCTGCAGTTGCCCCTCGCAAACTCCTGTTCCCCTTACTGTGCTTGTCCATGGCATGATCCCAGGGCCAGGTAAGCTGGGGAGGACAAGCAGTCTAGCAGCTGTCAACCACTTTAAGTACTGGGGAAACAGAAGGCAGCACCTCTAGGTCATCCAAACAGCCCACCCACCTCCTCTCCAGGGTCCAGTCTCACTGCATGGTCTAAGGGACCAGAGAGGTAGCACAACTTTCATTGCCAGCTGTCTCTCAGAACTAGGTCCATCACAGCTTGGGTCAAGGACAAGCTTCAGATCAACAGCAACATCAGCTCCTGGGGAAGGCTCTGTTTCTCTGTCTTCCTCCTATGCTCTTATAAACAGAAGGGCCTTTCCAAGAAAATGGGCAGTTTCTAGCTAGTTTAGTGTGCAAGTTAAAACCAACATCTTCAATTCTAACTGGAAGCCAGAAAGCTTCCAGAACAATTTTTGGATCACAAGTGTCAGATGCTCCTGAGAAGAGGCTCCTTTCCCCAAGCAAGCAGCTACTTTTTGCACTTGCTTCCAAATGGAGCTAGATGTATTCCCACCAGAGAGAACATTGCAATGGTTTAATCTTGAAGTCACATGTGCTGGTGGCAAAATAAACTACCAAGATGTATCCCTCCAGACAAGTATAGATGGAGAAAAGCTGTTTTGGACATAGCTTCTCCTTAGTCATCCAAATGTAGCTGTTAGTCCAACCAAACCCTTAGATCAATGGGTCAATAATGGCAGGCACACACCTTCCAACATGGGAACTAATATAAACTCTTTAACAACTTTATTCTCCTAGTCCACCAACATCACTTCTTTTTTATAGTTTTGCTCTCACCCTTGTTCCAACTTCCACCAACTCCTAGCTTAATTGCTCTTGCTAGTCAGTCATGATGAAGACACAAAGCTATGTTTCATCAGCCTATAGAAAATAAAGTAATTTCTGCAGCTTAATCTCCCTGCATATTCCTGAAGGCATCAAACCATGCACACAGCACAGCATCAGAAGCTGAAGACAACTCAAATGACAAAAGGCTTTTTGTCCATCTAACGTGAGATAATTCTATCCCGTCTGGTAAATCTTTCTTAAAAGATGATTCCCGTGTTTTTATATAAAAAAAATGTAATGTCATAGAGAACGCATCTATGCAATTGTACGCTTTCATGGAAAGAGAGTCATTATTTCCCTCACTCTTGAATAGACGGAATGAGTGTTTTTGACATATTTTAAGACACTGCATGTGTAGGTTCAGAGGCATGGACAACTTTACTCCTTTCCTAAATCTTGTTATATGTTGTATGTTGCTCCACAAACTTACTTTGTCTTGGAATGTACCTTTGGAAAAAGCAATATCTGAACATGAAGGCACCTGCAGTATAATGCTTATATTGTAAAGGGAAAGTAAAAACTTCATAGAATTCACGCCAGCCTGAATGAGAATTGAATGCCTTCAAGCAGCACCAATCTAATCAGGTAGATTTGCATGCAGTCCTAGTATTGGGGCCCCAGAAAAAGGCTTGGTAGCCAATTTAAATGTTGCCTAGTGAGGAAGAGAAAGATGTCTCATCAGCTTCTGGGGAGCTCCTAGATTTATCCATTGAGTTCCACAACCTGGAAGGATTTAGACTGGTGGTGTGGCACAATCTCAGCTGTCACTAATTTAGTAAAGTACTGCACTCAATCTTGGTGATAAGAATGTTTAAACTCATAGATTGAGGTACTCATCTTTAGGTTCAGGTGCATTTTTCTCCTCTACTGTGGTCTAGATGCTGGGCCAGTCTTATTGGAGCAGCAAAAGAAATGGGAGCTTACTGCTACTCTTTACAAGGAAAGATTTCACAGGAAGTATACCAGAGATTGACAATCTAAGTGAGGATGGGAAAGATATATTGCACCTAATATATATGCTGATTCATATTGGGGGGAGGGAATGCTGAGAAAACATTTTGCTATTCTGCTGTGCAGTAAAGACAAGGATAGCTCTAAGTCCAAAGCCTTCTTCCTTGATTTACAAATCACAGCGGTTAGGCTTGTTGTTGGATTATTCATGCAGTATAACCAGGCATACTGTGTTGTACACAGTAGTTTTCTTTAAAGTGTTAACCACCAAAAGTTGTAGTGTTGCTGTGAATTGTATGTGCTTTGTAGAGGTCTGCATGTTACCACAGTGGGGAATGTAGACCTTTGCACTTCTTTCCCAACAGTGAATATAATCAATGATCAGCTTTAATCTGGATGATCAGTATTCTACAAGGTTACAGTTAAACCAAATGAAATGTTAGTTAAGTGCAAAGCTGGTGAATAATACATCCTAGGTAAAGGTTTGATTTATTCATGCAATATTCTAGGGTTATCTAAAATTAGTGGGGATTTCTTTTAAGTAAAGTCATTTTTGGTGCTGTAAATAAAATACAAAGCAAAATGTTTCTTCTTCTTATTAATTATTATTATGACATCATCACTAGGAGCCAAGCAGCTTGAGTATTTCAAATTACTGATTATTTACCCACAAGACTAAATTTAAGCAGTTCTGAAGGGTTGATTTAAACCCACAGCTGCCCACAAATTCAGCTTTAAGGCCATTCCTGTGCCACAGCACATATGGCTCTGGGTGTATCAGACAGGCTCATTTCATGTCAGATATGAATGTCTTCTAACCCTAGAGTTAAAAAAAGGTTTAAATAACAGATTTCGATACAGAGTTTACCACAACTCTTTTTAAGACATCTCCCTGGGTAAAACACCTGGGTAGGCAAATGATGAAGCTTGTAATTTTAAAAAGTTACATATTCTGTGGTCCTATTCTGTGTTAAGTATGACCTGCTTATGCTTCAAGGACACTGAGCAGCATTCTGCTTAGCAATAATTTTGCGTACTCATAATATTTTTAGATTTTTTCTGTCTTTTTATTGCTGTTTTAATATCTAAGACATTGCCACAAACACAGGTTTTATCTGCTCATATGCCTTACTCCCCACAGAAGGTCATAGGAGCAGGTCTTCACCTGATATAAATTAGCATAGTTCTGCTGACTTCAAAGTTACACTGATGGATGGATGATCTGTCCTGTAATCTCCGTAAGGGCCTGATTCTGTTCCTACTGAAGTCAATAGGATTTGGATCAGTTCCTAGGTTCTAATGGCATTAGCAAATAGGTTCTCCATAATCGTAGTCTTATTGCTCCACAAATGTGAATGAATTTATTTTTACAATACCCCAGTGAGGTAGAGGAGAAAAAATATTAACATTTTGTGACATAATAAATCACCTCTGTGGCAGCTAATTGTGATGTCACAAAAGATTATGGCTTCACAAGGGAAATAAACAGCAGGAGCAAATGGTTTATTTAAAACCAAGATCCTGTTTTCACACTAGTGAATCTAGTTATTAAAAGAAGGAAGAGAAGAGAGATTAATACTGAGTATCGGTAAAACAGTCTCTAACAAGATTGTTTTTCATACAACATCAGCTCCTGGCCTTTCTCTTAGTAAATATGATGCATCACTAGTTCTCGTGTGCACCATTGCCAGCACAGAAAGGATCAAATCACTTTTCAAACAAGTTTGTTCATATTACTTGGCTCTGGGCAGGTTTATTTGCTGAGGAAAGATAACAAAACTCTTCAGCGATGTTGGTAAAAAGCAAACATTGTAACTAGCAGCATCAGTGTGTGGGTTTTAAAGGGCATTTTATACACATGTAGTTCTCATTGATATTAACTGGATTTAAGTGTGCCCATCTGGAGAAGAAAAACTGCTTAGCATGTCAATCAGCAGTAGAGTCTTGATAGCCAGATTTGTCTCTTTTAAAATTAAAGTCTGTGTTCTCAGTGCACAGCTGTACTGGGAGTCTGATTTTGAGGGTGGGGTGAAAGTGCTCTGTTGTTTTGTTTTCCTATTATGTTGTTAGGGTTTTTGTGATGGGTCATTTGCCCCCACACTGGCCCATTGGCAGTTAAAGCAGGGGACTTGAACACACAGCCTGGGGGCCATCTACAGCCCAAATGGTTCCGCAATCTGGCCTGCACATGGCTGCTGGCATGTGAATCCCAGCCCCTCTCTCTCCCCCATATCACTGCTTCCTTTAAGCCCCCTTCCCTAAGGGATGTGACATTGGGGATTACTGGGAGGGCTGGCATATGGTGGCAGCGATTTCTTTCTCCCTCCCCCCACTCACTGCAGCAGGAGGCAGAAGGAAGTGGAGTTATGCAGTAGCCTGCACTCTTTT